ATCTGTTTGATTCATTCATAGAAACTGTAATTATGTTAATACATGTATTTTAATTTATTCATTTCATGTAATAACTATAATTTCAAATCTCTTTGGTCACTAACACCATTTTGTTTTTATCATACATGACATAGTATAACAGCAATTAGCAATATAATTGCAAAATCACATGATTTTTAATTACTTGACCAACATACACTATGCAGTAAAGAGTATAAAGCTGTGGTCTTCATATTTAATAAACTTAGTTGTTAGTATTCTAATTGGTCCATCCGGAAATGGTATTGCTTCGTGTATTTCACTTTATCATATTCTTGTTTATATAGGATGAACGTACATCGCTCCACCTTGCTGCTATTGGTGGACATGCTGAGGTTGTAAATGTTCTACTTGGCGAAGCAGACATTGACGCCCAGGATGAGGTAATTATTTTCCAACTAATCATTTTACTGTGTAAACTATATTGTGCCTGTTTTTCTTGACAAACTATGAACGAATGTATCTAACTCCGCGATTAGAGTCACTTTACTGTATATAGGATAGTATACTATTTACATGCTCCTTGCTGACTTTCCCACCATGAAAGAAACTCACTTGCTCAGTTTACACAACTCCATGCCATCATTGGTGACATAGCTAGCTGATACCAGATAGATGTCACTGAGAAGCCTGGATATATACCCTCCCACTGGCAATACTATAATATTATCAACAATTGTTCTGATGGTTTGTTCACCCCCGACTTTCCAAGCAGTAAAAACATAGCCAGCTAACTTTATCTAGAGATTTATTTGTTCTGATCTCTGCCGCCTCAGTGGAATTACGATGATCATTGTGTAGGATGCAGGCTATATTCAAATGTATTTAACACACGTGTGACACTGATTTTCACATGCAAAGTGGACCTTTATGATTATGATAAGAATTATTGTTTCTATTGCACATCATGTTTGCTTTAATTTGTTCGTAGCGTGGTCGGACACCACTACATTTAGCTACTTTTAATGGACATATTGATATCATACGTATTCTAGTGTCTAACTGTAATACAGAAATTACAGATGAGGTATGTATATATCATTTATTTTAAATATTCATGCCAGTATTGGGTATGTAAAAATGGTTCAGATGTTGCTATAATTCCTTTATTCATGTACACATGTGAAATAAGGAACAAATGCATTTTGCGTGGCTTCGGAATGGAGATTTACCCTATATCAACATTATACTTTATGTATTGTATTATTTGCAGGATAAACGTACAGCGCTTCATCTAGCTTCAGAATATGGATATGAAGAAATTGTCCAAGTCCTGCTTGATGCGGGAGCAAATAAAGAAGCAGAGGATGAGGTATTTTATACATAGTGCAATCCAATATTTGGAATTGAGGAAAACCATCATATCTTTATGTTATGATTAGATAAATTGTTCAAAAATGTAGTGGTTCAACATTGTATCTACTTATTATTAGAAATTATTAATTCGTATAGAATGAATGTCATGTATTCTTTATTATAGGAAGAGTGGACACCGCTTCTGTTAGCGACTAAACATAGTCATGCAAAAGTTGTACGAGTACTTTGTGATGCCGGGGTAGAACTAAGACCTCGCAAACAGGCAAGTTTGTCTGTGGTTTGTCGTTTGTTTTATTCGTTTAATCATACTATTGCAATGTACAAATACTGCTCATTAACTAAGATGGAAGAAGTAGTGTAGCACACATTCATACTATATGTAATTATATATTGTCACAGGATGGCTGGACTGCCCTCCGATGGGCAAATGCTGAAATTAAACAAATCATATTGGAGGCAATAGAGAGAGGGAAAGTCAAGAAAAAGGTATGTTTCTGAATGAAAATAGCGATGGCTAGTGAATTTACCTAAAATTATAAAGAAGTAAATTAGTATATGTGTTGGCCTCCTATGCTAAACAGGAAACATATTTACACAATCAGAGTGTTTATCAGCAGAATGGCGGTCATGGTTAAATTTACTTGACTTAGAAAATGTAAAGTTCATCGACCTCTCACAAGTCAACTTTCAGCAACCCATTCATATGTTTTAATTACCGATTATTTTTGTACTTCTGTTTCAGCTAGCAATTGCGGACCCAAGCCATTGCATAAAAGATGTATGCCCCAGCGAACGCTAGACAACAATCATCGCGAACAACGTATAAGGTGTGTGTCCTTGCTACTCGTATTAAAATCAACTTTTGTTTTTATTTTACAGTTTAACTATACTTAATTGCATATGGTGGTTTATGAATATATGAATCGTATATTAAACAGTTGTAGATTTGAATTTGTAATTTACAAAGTTGTTGTTGTTATATCTTCCAGTCATGGGAATAGTGGACTTTGTATTGGAATACACAGAGAAATGTAATACAAAGTTTTTGGTATTTCAGCAATTCCAGACGATGTATTAATTACATGAAGTCACCGGTTATTATGTGTTCAATCCAGTCCTCTGGTGCATGTGTTTCACAGTAAATAGACATCAATATTTATCATTTTAAAATGTCGTTGCAGAAGAAACTGACCAGTTAGAATAAGTTTACATTTAACACCCTGGTAATAGGTCGTTATCAGAACGTTTCGATGAACAGGAAGCCTTTGTATTGCAATTTATATCATTTAGCTTGTATGCAAATACTGTTGTTTCCATTTTAATTGAGTGAATATAGTTTTCCGTCTTAGTGTTGTTTAACGTTTTTAAAAAAGGTTTTGTGTGCGTTTGTATTTAAATTGATGTGAATTGTCCATGATATATCGACTGGACAATCACTGTTGTTTCTGTTTGGGCAATATAGTTTTCCGTCTCAGTTTTCTTTAACGATTTTAAAAAGTTGTGTGTGCATTTGTATTTTAAAGAAATGTTACATTATATTCAGTCGTTTGTATTTTAAATGTATGTGAACTTAACATGATATATCAACAGGTCATGGTGCAATTAATAAAGTACCTGATAAATGCCCACAAGCACGTTCTCGTTTCACGGGTTTTGTATAAAAAAAGACTCATTCAACTGTTTCGGAACTCTCGAAATAAAGATATTCCACCACATGTAATCGTATATTATAACTCAGTATTCAAATTTGCCTCAACGTGTGATAAACATTTGACCATTTGTTTTTTGTATTTTTGTTTATATTTTGTGTAAGTATTTTTTGTTTGGAATTGTATCGTCAAGATGAATTACATGTATAATTTGTAGGCCAACCATTTTTGGTGGCAATTAAGCATATTTCATTTTCACGTTAAAAAATGTCAGACGGTCATGTAGTTTTATCGTGAATTTCTTTGTATGTGACATATCAAACAATTATTCATGGTTTTAGTTTATTTTGATAGTTAAGAATACCAATCTCATATTGACCGATTTCTCTGTGACAAATTGAGAAGTTATTGCCGCGAAAATAGTTCCTTCATCTAAATTATTATAAAGTACCTTTTACTCCGACATGTCATGATATTATCTATGATTTACTCAATTTGGATTTGTTTAAATTTAAGGAATTGTGGACATGATATCTCACATTTAGATGTGTCATTTCATTATTCTCGTATAATGTAAAGTTGATATTTAGTTAGATTTTATTTAGATTTAGATTTTAGTTAGATTTGTTTAGATGAAATGTTGTGATCTTGCATCCTAGAAATGTAACTTGAGATCTGCTCATGAAATTATTCTTACAATTAATGTAACTTGGAAATTTTCAACATCCCAATTTGTTATTGCTGGTTATTGTATTTGTGTTTTATAGATATAATAGTTGTTATATTCGGAAGAAAAAATGCCAACAATTCATGATTATAATTCGTAATCTTGTGGAGAAAACATTATCTGACTATCACTCAATAAACCACCAGAAAAAAACATTTAATGAGTCATGTATTTTGTAGGATTTCACAATGCTGACATTGCTACTCTCCGCGGGAGAAAGACATTCCCTACATTTTTATAAATTTGAACCAGCCAATCAAGGGGCACAGTGCCAACGACGTCATCTGAAATAGTTCCAATTTTAATCGATCGGCCAATAGAAACATTATGTTTCAGTGCAAATATTTGAAATTATAAATATAAAGGAAGCCTTTGTTGTATTTTTGAGTATGTAAGTGATGAGCAGCCATGCATCAAGCAAATAAATTATAAATATTGTTGACATAGTCGTGTCTGTTTTATTTAAATCGTCGTCATTATGTAATTAAAATCGTAATGTAATTGTAATCCAATAATGTTCCGAAAACCTTGTTTTGAAAATTCGACGTACGAAACCGAGGTCAAAAGTTTGTTGTTGTACGTCGAAACGGAAGTGTCCTATATATTGTCGGCAAATTCGTTCAATAAATTAACTGAATAAATTTATTTATTTTTACATCTTGTTAATGTTTACGACTTTGGTACATAGCAACAATCAGTGTATGAAAACAAATAGTAAACTAGTTCTGCAGCGTGTAGTATTTTGAATATATGAACAGATTTTTCTAAATTAGTTTGGAAACAGTTAAAGTAATACTGTGT